ATGCTAAGTGAGATGAGCAAGTCACACACAAAAAAAACAAAAGTACTGTATGATTCCATTTATATGAGGTACTTAGGGTAGTCAAAATCATACAGGCAAAAAACAGAATAATGGTTGCCAGGAAATGGGGGAGGGTATATACTTATTGTTTAATGGATATAGAGTTTCAGTTTTACAAAATGAAAAGAGTTATGGAGATGGCTATACAACATTACGAATGTATTTAGCACTACTAAACTGTACACTTAAAAATGGTTATGAGGGTAAATTTTATGCTGTGTGTATTTTACCACAATAAAAAAAAAGAAAGAAAGAAAAAGAAACATATTGTGGATGAACCAGATGGTGATTTAAAAAAGTGTCACATAATTTTAGAGTGTTTTTCCATCAACTCTATTGAAAAATAGACCTTTCCTTTTCTTAGTATTTTGATAATCTATACTCAGAGAAGACTAGCAGCAGTTGTGGAATGAGTTTGTATTCCTCCAAAATTTATCATATGTTGAAATCTAATCCTTAATATGAAGGTATTCAGAGGTGGGACGTTTGGGGGGTGATCAGATCACAAGGGTGGAGACCTCATAAATGAGATTTGTGCCCTTCTAAGAAGAGGCCACAGAACTAGCTTGCTCTCTTTCCACCGTCTGAGGATATGAGAAGTCAGCAGTCTACAACCCAGAAGAGAGCCCTCAGCAGAACCTAACCATGCTGGCACCCTGATCTCAGGCTTCCAGCCTCCAAACTATGATAAATAATCATCAAAACAAAACAAAACAGGAGGTGGCTGGCAAGATGGCCGAACAGGAATAGCTCTGGTCTGCAACTCCCAGCGAGATCAATACAGAAGGTGGGTGATTTCTGCACTTCCAACTGAGGTACTTGGCTCATCTCACTGAGACTGGTTAGGCCATGTGTGCACCCCATGGAGGGCGAGCCGAAGCACGCACGGTGGGGCATTGCCTCACCTGAGAAGCACAAGGGTTTAGTGAACTCTCTCCCCTAACCAAGGGAAGCCATGAAGGGTTGTGCCTTGAGGGATGGTACATTCTGGCTCAGATACTACGCTTTTCCTACAGTCTTCACAATCCACAGACCACGAGATTCCCTTGGGTGCCTACACCACCAGAGCCCTGGGTGTCAAGCACAAAACTAGGTGGCCGTTTGGGCAGACACCAAGCTTACTGTAGGAGTTTTTTTTTTACATACCCCAGTGGTGCCTGGAAAGCCAGCAAGACAGAACCATTCACTCCCCCGGAAAGATGACTAAAGCCAGGGAGCCAAGAGGTCTAGCTCAGTGGATCCCAACCCCAAAAAGCCCAGCAAGCTAAGATCCACTGGCTGGAAATTCTCTCTGCCAGCACAGCAGTCTGAAGTTGATTCACAATAGCAAAGACTTGGAACCAACCCAAATGCCCATCAATGATAGACTGGATAAAGGAAATGTGGCACATATACACCATGGAATACTATGCAGCCATAAAAGTGGTTGAGTTCATGCTCTTTGCAGAGACTGAAGCTGGAAACCATCATTCTCAGCAAACTAACACAGGAACAGAAAACCAAACACCACATTTTTTCACTCATAAGTGGGAGGTGAAGAATGAGAACACATGGACTCAGGGAGGGGAACATCACACAATGGGGCCTGTCAGGGGGTGGGGAGCTAGCGGAGAGATAGCATTAGGAGGAATACCTAATGTAGATGACAGGTTGATAGGTTCAGTAAACCACCATGGCATGTGTGTACCTAAGTAACAAACCTGCATGTTCTGCACGTGTATCCCAGAACTTAAAGTATAATAGTAATACAAAAAATATGACCAATGTTATTGGAAAATGCCAGATAAAACAAACAAAAATCCATTCTGGCAATCTGTATCTTTTAGGTGAAGCATTTAATCTAGTTATATTTAAGGTTAATTTTGATATGTGAGGCTTTGTTCCTGTTGTACTGTTGTCTTCTAGAATAAATTCATTCTTTTTCTCTGTCTTTATGTTATCATGTTTTGATGAAAATTTGTCACATTTCCATTTAATTCCATTCTCTGTGTTTTATAAGACCTGTGAGTTTTATATTTTCATGTGTTTCGGTGATGGTAAGTATCAACCTTTTGTTTCCATGTTTAAGAGCCTTCTGAGAACTGCCTGTAGGGCCAGTCTAGTGGTGACAAATTCCCTCAAAATTTCCTTGTCTGGGAAAGACTATTTCTCCTTTATCTGTAAGGCTTATTCTGGCAGGATATAAAATTCTTGGCTCAGAGTTTTTTTTGTTTGTTTTCTTTTTAGCACAATGGCCAAAATGCCATCTCACACTTTTTGGTCTATAAGGTTTCTTTCTGCTCTTGCTAATTTTAAAAATTCTTTCTTTCACTTGAATTTAAACATTCTGAATATTATATGCCATGTGAAGTCCTTTTTGCAGTGTATTTAAGTGAAGATCACCAGATCTCCTGCATTTAAATATCTAACTCTTTTGCTAGATTTGGGATATTTTCATCACTCATTTCCTTCAGTAGGCTTTCTAAACTTTTTGATCTCTTTTCCCCCTCAAAAATACTGGTAATTCATAAGTGTGGTCATTTTGTGTAGTCCAAGACATCTTGAGGGCTGTTTTCATTCTTTTTTTCCTTATTTTTGTCTGACTAGATTATTTCAAAGGCCTGTCTTCAAGTTTTGAAATTCCTCCGTCTGCTTGATCTAGTCTATTATTGAAGCTTTCAAATGCATTTTGTATTTCCTTCAGTGAATTTTCAGTTCCAGAATTTGATTGGTTTTTTTAAAGATATCAATCTCCCTGGTAAATTTCTCATTCATATCTTGAATTGATTTTCTTATTTGTATTGGTTTTCAGGTTTCTCTTGTACCTCATTGAGGTTCTTTAAAATCAATATTTTGCATTTTTAATGCTATTTCAAGGAATTCTTTCTGATTGGGATCTGTTCCTAGAAATTGCTCTAGTCCTTTGGTGGTATGATATTTTCTTGTTTTTTCATGTTTCCTGTTTCCTTCCATTGCATATCTGGTATTGTTTGTTCCAGTTTTTAAGAATTGCTTTTGTAGGACAGAATATTTTTCCTGAAGATAAATGTACGTTGTTGGTTAAGTAAGACACCTTGGCTTTGATTTTTGGTGCTGTTGTAGTGTGGTCTTCAAGTGACATTTTCAGTAGTACATAAGGTCAGTGGTATGTGTAATTTCCTCAGTGGCTTAGGGTATGGTGATTAGCTGAAGCTGTGAAGTTAGGCTGGGGATTTGGATGCCAACTGAGTCAGTCTTTGGACCCCAGAGGTGGCAGCGGCAGGGTGAATATGCCTGCTTTTAGGTTGTAAGCAGCTTATGCTGGCTGCAGTGTTAGAGGATCCAGAAAGGCTGATTCTTGGGCCTCCAGGAGAATTGCTTAGAAGCTAGTAATGAGAGCAGTGGTCTAGGTATGTGGAAAAGTTCTCAGCCCTCTTGATGTGAGTGATGGCAGTAGTGGTGGTGGAGCAACCCACTGAGACCCAAGAGGTCCATGTTGGTGTTGCTGGTAGCTGCAATGGGTTGAGTATGCTAGTCCTCAGTTCCATAGCTGCCCAGAGCAGGGCAGTGGGAACTGTCCTAAGTATCCATTATGGCATTCCTGGAGGTGGCTGTTCTCTGCTTTTGTGCTCATGGTGTGCCTGGGGTTTACTGAGACTCTTGGATCTGTGGGTTTACAGTTTTCATTAAATTTGAAAAACATTTAAATATTTATGTGCCCCTTCTCTTTGGAGATTTCAATTGCATATATTCAAGGCCAACTGAAATTGTCTCACAGCTCAGTAATGCTGTTAATTTTCTAAAATTATTTTTTAACTTTGTGTTTCACTTTGGATAGTTATTACTGCTATGTCTTCAAGTTCACTGATACTTTCTTCTGAAATGTCTAATTTACTATTAAACCCATCCAGTGGTTTTTTTTTTACCTCAGAAAATGTAGTTTTCATCTCTAGAGGTATGATTTCAACTTATTTAAGACTAAGAGACATTCCATGTCTCTTTTTTGAACATATGGAACAGAGGTAAAATAACTATTTAATAGTAACAGCTTATTAACTTCTAGTTCTAACCTTGCATAAATTCTGATGCCATTTCAATAAGCTAATTTTATTCACTTCTTTATTTTCCTGCTGCTTTATATGCCTGGTAACTTTTGATTGGATGGTAGACATTATGAATTTTACTTTATCAGATGCTGGTTATTTTTGTATTTCTTAAGTCTTCTTGAGTTTTGTTCTCAGACATAGGTTATTACTTGGAACCAGTTTCATCTTCTTGCATCTGGCTTTTCAGATATGTTAGGCAGGACTAGAAAAGTGCTTAGTCTACGGTTAACTATTAACTAGCCCTGCTGTTGAGGCAAGACAATACCTTGTTGAATAAGGGGTTTTCCAGCCTGGTTAGTGGGAATGGGTAGTATACTCAGGCCTATGTGAGTGTCAGGCACCACTCCCTCTAGTCTGGCTGGGTCTTTCCCTAGCACTGAGTAGTTTCCTCACATGTATGCACTGATCAATATTCTACTGAATACTTAAGGGGACTCTCCACATATCTCCAGGGTTCCCTTCCTGTACAGTTCTCTGCTCTCTGGTACTCTGTCCTGCAAACTCTAACAGCCTTGGTCTCCTGAGACTCCCAGCTCCATCTCTTCAACCAAAAGAGTCTGTCAGGTTCCATCTGGTGCTCCCTCCCTATGCAGTACTTTGAACTCTCTTAAGGTGGTCAGCGGTGGCAGTCACAGAACTCACCTCATTTGCTTCATGTTTCTTTTGGATCATTTTCCTTTGCACCTAATATTCAGTGTCATAAGAACCTTTGTTTTCTATATTTTGTTTTCTAAATTTTATCTAGAGGGTTGGTTCAGCTAAAAGAGTAAACCCCATCCCTGTTACTTCATCTTGGCCAGAAAAAGTACTCATCTAGTTTTTGTGTATGAATATACATAGAATTTAAAGTCATTTAAGATGAGAATGACTCCTTACCTTATTAACGTATCATCATCCACAATGACTAACCATGCTGTTTTGTCCTGGCTACGATTCAGAAATCTTTCCAAAATGGCAAATGTCTTTCCGCAATGACCTAGAAAAGTCAAGAAGAAAACTTACGATGTATTATTTTCTACAAAATATATAGAATTCATTAATTTCTTTTTAGTTTTCAAGTGTTGTAAGAGCTTACATGTCAACATGCACCTTAAAAGTTCAAAATTTTTAAAAATAGCCTTCTCTAATTTTCATAGACACATTGAACCAGTATGAACTTTAGAGATAATCAAATCCAAGCTGTTCATTTCACATGTGAGGAAATGGAGACCTAGAGGGATTAGTGGAATTACACTGTCACACAGATAATTTGAGACAGAGATGGAATTAGTATCTTCAGTCCAAACAAGAAAATTTTAAGACTCACAGCAATGATAGATGCCCACCATCTTTTCTTAGATACGCTTATTCTAAAGGAGCTGTTAGAAGCCCAAGCAACACTGCCACAGGGAAACCACAGTGCAAAGGTGGAAGCTTATGCCTTCATTTATTTATTTTGTAAATATTTACTACCACTAAGTTTCTAACATGCCAGTTACTGTGGCAGGTACTAGGATATGCACTAATGATACAGTGTTGAGTAAGACAGAGTAACAGTCCTTCAGACACCAACAGATAAATTACAATGCTTTAATGGACCAAAATTTTGCTAGGACCAAAATAAAATTCTCGGAAAGAGTAGTCAAACTGATAAACAGGAATATGACCCTCATTTTAATCAAGTATTTGGTGACACAGTGGAGAACAAACTAATATTAACTTCTATTAATGACTTTAAACCACTCAATTTGACCTTTATTTTCTTTACTCTTGATCTCTTTATTCATTTTTAACCATTACAATATGCATGTTTGAAAGCCATCTCAAATTCCTTTTAGAATATAAATATAAACAATAATAAGGTCAGATTAGAAATGAAGAAATCAAATAAGGAATGCATAAGTAAATACATGATTATTAAACCCAATCTAAAATAGTTTTTCCAAATCAAACAGCAACAGAGAGACTCAGAAACACACTTAACCTTGTAGGAAGAATTGGTAACGACAGAAATGGCATATATCTGATTCTGCATTGTACTATATTAATGAAGGAATTATGGATGACACTAACATAAAATAATCAAGATACATTACTGTATAGAACAAGAAAATCAGTTTGCTACTCCTATTTTACTCGTAAAAGGACATGGGGAACAAAAAAACTCAAGAAAAAAGGGTGGCAAGAATATTGAATAAAACTTTAGATGAATAAAGAATATCTGAAGATGAGGTGACCAAATTTATACTTCCATTTTTTGAAATAATTTTTTAAAATTTTTATAGCTTTAAGGAATATAAGTGCAGTTTTGTAACATGGATATATTGCACAGTGGTGAAGTCCGGGCTTTGGGTGAAGCCATCACTCGAACCGTGTCTATCGTACCCAGTGGGTAATTTCTCATCCCTCATCCTCCTCTGCTCTCCCACCTTTTTGAGTCTCCAATGTCTACCATTCCACTCTATAAGTCCTAAAAAGTATTTTTAATTAGAAAGCCTGCAATTTGAAGAGAAAAGCAGGTTTATTTCCAACAATTTACTAATTAAAATCTTAACATATAGAACAGAGTTTATTCTACATATAACTGGTGTAGAATGTGGTTAGGTGGTACTCATAGGTACTATAACATGTGAACTAGACTATAAGACTGACAAGGATAGAAGCTTTGTGTGGAAATATGATAAATTAACTTTAAACACCCCATTATGGCCACAAAGAATTATGAAGGTATGAAAAATCTATTGTTAAACTCTATTGTAACCATCACATGCTCAAGTATAGGATATAACCTACTAAAAACTTGCAACACTTTGTACTATAAAGCCCTTAGTTTCAAAGAACCAATCTATATTTGTGAGGAAAGAAGGAAAAAAACTACTATGAGGCAAAAATTATAGCATTTATAAAACATTTCACTTTTATCCTAACCTAATTTACTATATTTACAGAATGGGGATATTTAATAAGGACAGTAGTAGGAATTATGGACTCACCTCTCTCTGTGTTAGGAATTCCCAAATCCACAGTAGGGATGGAACTTTCCGTATAGTCACTGTAGTATTCAATAAGACTTGTCTGGCTCTCCCAAGTCTGTTTAACAATAGGTACTGAAAAAATTACAAAGGTGACAATCACTGGCACAGTTATACAGGGAAGCTTGAAAACTCAAAACAGCAGTATAATCACCTACAAGGGAAGAGAAACATTACTTGTCGTTCTTCAGGTGTTCCAAGAGTTGCTTGCTTCCAACCCTTAGGAATGCCAAAGTTGATGACTAAAACCCTCTTTTTGAAGCAGGTTTCCCTAAGTACAGTATTTCTCATTCCTGTGATAAACACACTTACTTCCATATAACGATAAATTTTCTGGTTTGATTATGCTATTGTGTTTACATTAATGTTAACTAATTTTTCTCTTACCATGTTCCATGGTAAGAGAAAATCCATCCCTCTTACCATGGAGTATGGGAAGACCTTTGCAAACTATGCACCTTCCCGCCCAAAGATTCTAACAGAACTACCCAACCGTACAAAGGACATGACCTTGCCAAATGAGAATCACTGCATATGATAACTGATATTATGATGTTGTACTTCTGAAAAATATGGAAGAAATAAGATTCAAAACTACTACAGACTTTAAAACTCTATCATTAGCAGCTACATTGCTTTAACACAATAAACACAACAGAAAGCTGTCCTGGTTTTCTGCATTTTCGGTTTGGATGCTCAAAGATAGCTCTGTCTGCATGCCTGACATACAGAGTTACCATTACTTTATATTAATTCACCTGATCAAGTAATTATTTTCTTCTATACTTAAGAAACAAATTCTAGGTATCTCTGAATTTTAAAAAGTGGTTTCTTGTTTTTTCAATGGAAAAAAAATTTTAATTTTATATCCTGTTAAGAATCAAAACTCTGATGAACCAAATCTTAACTTTTGAGAAACTTTATCAGAACATGTATCTTTCCCCTATTCCCAACTGAAATCAAAATATATGCAAAAACTGACATTCCAATGTAAAATTTAAGTGTTTAGTAAGTAAGCAAATTCTGAGTCCAGCGCAAGACAGCCCTTATGTAGAAAATTCAAAAGTGCACCATTTTATAATCTCTCATTCATTGGCTTAAAGAAAAAAAAAAGCTGAGTTCCGCACATCTGCTAAAATGATTACCAAATTGCCAGTTAAATATTATTTTTATATATTAAAATTTTTCTGCAGCCATAGAAAAGCAGACAGTTCTAAAGGTTTCTACATGTGAAAACGGTCAAAGATTAAATAGATAGGGCTATGGGAGGGGAAAAAAAAAAAAAGAAAAAAGAGATTTAAAAAATTTCACTGTTTTACTTCCAAATTTCAGCACAACAAAAATGTTAATCCTGGCACTGCTGTGGCAGTTTGCTTTGCATATAATAAGCAAGAGAACTTACCACACAAAGGGCTCCCTGAAGCTTGCGGCCACTAAAAGTTCACACTGTTGGGTAAAATATCCTCCAATGCATAATGCTGGAAGAAGCTGTGAGGAAAGGTCAAGAACTTTCCTCAGTCCCCAGCAAGGGTCCTGCAGGCTGTGCAAATTCTGCTTTCGGATTTCCTCAGCCTTTAGGCCTTCAGTCCTCTTTGCTCTAATAGGTTTATTAAATGACACAGGTGTTTCTTCTCAATTAACTGATTTAAATAAAATTAAAATCAAATTCAAGGGAGAGTTAGCGCTTTTGCTTTCTCTTTTACTTTGAAACAGGTAAAATAGGAATTACACTAAAGAATTATTGTGTGTATGACTTATTTCCCAACACCTGGCATAGTGCCTAGGCCATAGTAGATACTCAATAAATAGTTGAATGAGGACTGAATTTTGTAGGCATTTCAATAAAAGGCCTAGGATTATTTGTGGAAACTAGTTAAAGGAAGGTTTTATTCATAAAGGCAATTCAGCCTTTGATTCACCATTTTAAAATAAGCCAACTATTTAAATATACTAAGATATTATGATTCTATACCTAAAGCACTCAACAGTTTGTACATCTCTCTCCTTATCAATATATACCCCCATGATTCTGTCATCTCTTAGCTGTAAAGGATTTAAAGTCTTCTATAATAACAGCTTAAGGCTTTATTTTCAACCAGGGTTGATTCTAAATTAGTTAAACTTTTAAAGTATTGGTTTATTTATTAGCATCATTTAAATTATAAAATGAACTCATTCTATTATTTACAAAATATTTTATATTGTATTGAGGCACTGTATTCCTAAAGATACTAAACTTTGAGAAAATACCTCAATAAGTTACCTATTATCTGCTTTTCAATAGAGAAGCATACTTCCTATTGAAAGTATGAACATAATAGTGAATGCCTCTTTCAAGAAAGTTTGTCACAAGATAACTTAAATTTGGAGCAAAGAAAAATTTTACTATAAAAATGCCAGCTGCACAGATGGCATAAATCTTCTTTAGAGCTTTCTAGACTCTAAGCAGAAGATATGTCTCACTATGAGGAGAAAACATGCATTTTTACCCCCAGGGAAGTGACTTGGAAAAGTGTCTCAGATTATAAATGAAAAGGAACTTGATGCTTGAACATTTTATTAAAACTACCACACCATCAAATGTGAATAGTTTTTATTTTAAGGAATTCGCTATATTCAGTTTGCAGATGGCCCTTTTGTCTCAGCATGCAAGTCAGTAGCCAGAAAATAAGACCCTGTTTGCACTTCTCTCCTCAGGAGCAGGTTAGGGAGACACACACGTGTGTCCTAATTCAACATTTTAAAGACTGAGATGTACCCAAGACTGAAAAGCATCCTTCCTGGATGAGCTAACACAACACTGTAGGGCAATCTGGAACATCAGCTATTTCAACAGCCTAGGAAAGGCAACACCTGACTCCTCTCCTCTCTTCATTGATCTGATAATCACTCATTTAATTAGAGTCTGGCCTTCTATCTGGCTGTGTTTTAATTCAAGCCTCGCCTTTTAAGTAAGCAGATTGTACCACAGTACAGGTAAATCTCTTTAGTCAAAGAGAACACCAGCCACCAAACACCCCTCTCAGTCAGTTTGTTCAGATTTGCCTCTAGACAAGATCACAGCAGTAAAAACAGTAAACAGGTTTTTTTCTTTTTAATCTAAAAGGAATATGCTGCTAATTTTGAAGAGCTTAGGAAGCTATGAAAAGGAACTAAAGGCTGAGGAAACAGAAATTTAACCTCTTTAATTAGACGGAAACTGCAGGATAGCATCCCACAACGCACCATTTGATGAACAAAACCAGCGGCTGCCAAAAGGTACATGAGACATGCACACAAACTGCATGGCAGAATGATGCAAAGAAAATTCTTAAGGTTTTCTGACAGCTCACGTCACACAGTGGGAAACACAGAACCCAAGAGTAAGCAATCAAGCTGAATATTAAAACACCAGAGATCTTTTCCTTGCTTAAATATAATTTTACATGTTATGCTCAATTCATCACCTTATGTAACAGTTCTCAAGTGTCTTTAAAACCCTACTAAATGCTTGCCTCTCAGAGAGCGTTGTTGCTGTTTCAATGATGTCAATATGCATTACTTCCTTGAATCAAGAGACAGAATATATTTTTGCTTATTGTGTTCTAAGAATGCTATATTTCACTTAAATGAGAATCCAGACAAAGGCAATTACATAAATGTGCCATCAAGCAAACAAAGTACAATATTTAAATTTGTTTTTTCATTTTTAAACTTGGTTTTATTATCAATTCTTCCATGAGAGCATAAAAAGTAAATGAAACCTATATTTTCCCTTTCTGTGACTAGGGCCTTGAACAGAACATGTTCCGTCTCTCCTCCTCAACTCTCCTCCTCATCCTGGGAGGTGATCAACACTATAATGAACCAGCAGTGGGGGCCATCGCCACTCAGTGCCAGAGAACACTGTGCCCACAATTAACCATACAGCCCACTCTCAACTAGGCAAAGATAAATACAGTTTCTTATCTAGATTTTTTTCCTTCATCATTTGGCCTTTGTTACTAAAGTATTTCTACCACAGAGTGCACAGGGAAAGGAAAATATGGAAAAAACAAAAACATTAACACCCCAGACAACGTATTTGCTTGACTGTAGTAGTAATATGCTTAGACAGGAGTGGCAGTCTACACTCTCAGCTCGACTTGTATTTTAGATCCTGGTGGGTTCCAATTCCTTGCCATCCCCATTGCTACTAAAAATAGAAAGCCTAATTTCACAGCCAAGTCAAAACTGACCTTGAGCACAGCAGGACATCAACATGAATATCAAAGACTATTTATCAAGCATTGAGTTTGTCATATACACAAGATTACAGAATAGCTGTGCTATGGTAGAAAAAAACATGGGATTTCGGAGCCAGAAAACCCAAGTCCTTGGCTCTGCTACTCAACAGGATACAAGAAACTGGGCCAGTTGTGTATCATTCCACACTCAGCTTTTCCTACAAGTGAATAACAATAATTATCCTATCACAAGGAAGTGTCAACATGAAATCAGATGACAGAACATATGTGAAAAACACACCAGAAAATGTATAAAAGATGAGCAGTTAGAAGCAGTGTGGTGTTGTCCTTGTAACTGATGAAACTAGATATATCTTTAGGCCAACTGGTGGCCGGACTAGGCTTCTAAAACCAAGGGCAGAGCCTAGTGGCCTGGCAGGTTACACCTCCATCATGCAAAATGGACTTCAAAGTCACGGAAATCCTGTTGCCTTAGCCTATCTTTTCAAACAAACATATCCAAGTTGAAAAATGGCTTACCACAGAAACCCAAATATGAAAACTTCATGATACATTTTAGGCCTCATACTTCAATGATCCCACATTCAATTAACAGCAGTACATCAATGCAGCTGGCTTGTTTCTAATACTCCTAATGGGCTTTTAAGATTTTGTAATTTTTAAAGAATTTTGACTCAAAATTCGAACTGAAAAAAATTTCACGAATATCTAAAAAGATTATCTCAAACTTATGCAAATAAGAAGGCAGTATACTAGATTATTCAAAATTACTAAATCAAAATTAACCAACTTTTTTTTCATTTCTGTAGAATATAAAAAATACAACAGGAGTGTCCCTAATTTTAGTGATTCACTGTGACTTGAAAAATGTGTTTCAAAGAAAAAAATACCAGCAACACCATCCTTAACATTAATATTGTGAAAACAATCACTACTCCAAGTGCAGCTTCAAGAACAATTAAATCAACTCAAACAGCTCCTGCTTGCTGCAAAAGACATAAAACAAAAAGCAGTATAGCTCATTTCTCCAATACCTTTTTAAAGAAAGTATTTGTCAAAATCATCCCACCAAACCCTTCCACATTATGAAAAAAGTTAAAGGATATTAAAGTTAAATTTATGATAAATAAAAATTTTATTTTAACTGCTATACTGATTCTTCATAGTAACTTAAGACTCCTTATGTAACAAATATACATATTCATTTAGGCTGATTTAATAGGATTTGGCATTTAATGTGGCTATTTTAGGCAAACGTGAAGGTTTACAGTGAATATACTTTTATAATTGATTATAGCTGGATTTTAATTGATGTTAATGTCTTAGACAATACTTTAATCCCAAACTATAATATTATTTTATTTGGAAAACATCTTCTCCTTTAAAATATAATTTGTATATATCATATTATCCCATAAAATATATAAATGAACTTTCCCAGTAGTTCCAATCCCATGAAAATGACAGTTGGTTTAGAAATCTCTCCTACATAAATATCACATCCTTGGTGAAATCGACAGTCTTTTCAAGGGAAAAAAATTAAAATCTACACTAAAATTAGAATATGCAAAAGACTGCCTAATTTTCAACTTCAGAAAAGTGTTGCTTGAAATAAGGTGCAAAAAGAGAGAAATTATGTCTATTTATATTTAGGATGGGCTTTTTTTTCCCCACATTATCACCACAACTTAGCAGAATTCTGTAATGACATCAAAAACCTGAATAAAAACAACATTAATCGACATGCCAGGATTTCCTTAAGAAGAGATTCACTGTACAGCAGCTGTTTCTTCTTCTCCAATATTATCTACTCATGAGCAAATACATCTCTTTATTAAGTTCCAAGGTATGCATTTGAAATAAATTGAAAAAGAAGAAAAAGTCTTCAAGAGAGTATTCTTTGTTGGCATGCTATTACCTTGATATCCCCTCTGACATTCTTCATCCAGTTTAGAGACTGTACATGGACCTAGGACGTTGTTTGACAAAATAGGTCATTTTTCACACAGTCTCCAATACTGCCACACTGAGCTTTTCCATTTCCAATTTAAAATACTGCTATAAACAGTATTGGCTATGACCACTTATGTTTCAATGCAAAAATTTCCTTCCTAATTGATCTTGGTGACTGAAATGATGCAATGAGGAATACTGATTAATAACTGCTTTCACTTCAACATCCTAATTGTCATTATCCCTTTCCTGAATTTATACTCAAAAATTCATTTGTACTTTTTTTAAAACGGTAGTTTGAATTTTAAACATTCAATAAAATGAATAACCCAAAACGTACTTCTGTCACCATGAAATTTCTTGCATGTTTTTACTGCAACAAAAATATCCTTCTTCTTCACTGGCTTTCCCTAAAAAAAAAAAAAATAAGAAAAAATATATGCATATATGAGTCAGCGTTATCTTAACTTCACACCCACATGCTCTAGAGTTCAAATTAACCAATGTCAAGGATATCAAACATATTTCCGGGATAAAGTTTTAGGGGAGAAACGGAACCATAGGTCAGCTGACAACATAGCCTTTCTGTCTGCCAGCCCTGAACCTGCCTGCTCCGCCATGCAGAGAATGTGCATCCTCTCGACAAGTTTCCTAAGCTCTCGGAATTTCAGTCTGCTTGTTTAGAAAAAGGAAAAAATAACCACTGCAAGGCTGCTATTATTACTATAATTTATTAAGAACATAGTAAGTGACCAATAAATGTTAGTTACTTCTTTCCTTTCTCCAGATGGTGGAGATTTTGGCAAAAAGAGATAAATAGAGGGATTTTTTAGTGTAATATAAGAGATATTACCCTTTTCTGGGCCTGGCCTGACTTTAATGTTGAAAAGATTTTTACGGCCTCTTTACTGGCTACCCAAGCACTAGGCTAAGGATGTTTGCTCCTCTGCCAAAGGTAGGATTCCTTCAAACACCTGGTGGAGTTGAGGTAGGGGTAGTCCTGGAGCCCAGGCTGATCACACAGATGAAAGGTGGCACAAAGAGGGATTTGTCAACAAGGCACACCCAATCCCTTTATGACCCTTTTATTACCTGTCTTAGGCCTGCAATCATATTTCAATCATGACTCCTACATCATTTGGAGCTGGTGTATAGTGACATTTAACTACAGCTTTGTCATGTCACTTAAAGCACTAGGAGAGCACTGAAAGAGCAAGCAAGCATTCTGCCTAGAAAGACTGGTCCCCCACTCTGAAACTGCAAACACATTACAGATTCTCTCCCAACACTGCACTGTGTTTTGGGGGTGAGTGTGTGTGTGTGTGTGTGTGTGTGTGTGTTAAAATGGCACACACAGACTTCTGTGTGACTGACTTGAGAATAATGACACCATTTGAGGGTGGTGAACATATTTTCCCTTATGAGAAAAGCTGTTAACACCTACTGAGTGTCAGGGTCTCCAGGCTTATACTAGGGCTGGACCTTGGGTCAGCCAAAACAAGTGGGTTCATTCTGAAAGTTCTCAATGGCTGGCAGAGCCACATCCTGAGAGAGTAAATGGTCTGGGCTTGTGGAGAAGGCCTGAGTGTCACAGAAAGCACTGGAAATTGCATTTCTGAGAAATGGAATAGAAATTCCAATCAATGCATCCTACATCATCAACAAAAGAAATGACTCTGGGCACACTAGCCCTAAAGCACTATGGTGGGCAGTCCCTCATAAAGGCTCTGGAGTAAAGGGGAGCCCATCAGAACCCTCGCTTACCTCCCTACTAGCTGTGTAGCCATAAGCAAGCACTTGGCTTCTCTGTGCCTCTCTCTTCTCATTTGTAAGATGGAGTTACAATAGTACTTACCTTGTAGGAGTGTTATTACTAGAGACAAGATATACAGTTCTTACCTGACACAGGGAAAATGTTGATTTTCTTTTCAGTATGTAAAGTGCTAGTGTAGCACTATTCACAATAGCAAAGACACGGAATCAACCTAGGTGCCCATTAATGGTGGATTGAATAAAGAAAATGTGGTACAGATATACCAAGGAATACTATGCAGCCATAAAAAAGGATGAAAGCATGTACTTTGCAGCAGCATGGATGCAGTTGGGGGCCATTATCCTACGTGAATTAATGCAGAAACACAAAACCAACATACAGCTAGTGCTTGACTTACGACCACGATTGGGGCTGGCAGACCAGTTGTAACACAATTTGGTCGTAAGTTGAGAAGGCTATATGTACAGTTGAAATGGTGCACGCAGAGATGGTAGTGCTGCTGGAAGCTGGTCTGCACTATCATACGCCCAGCTGGGCAACGTTTGCGCTGCCAGACGCGGAGCAGTCGTGGCTAGCGATTGTGGTCCTAAAGTCGAATGGTCGTAAGTTGCATAGGTTGTAAGTCGATCAATACCTGTATGTTCTCACTTATAAGTGGAAGCTAAATACTGGGTATGCACAAACATAAAAATAGGAACAACAGATACTGGGGACTCTAAAAAAGGGGAGGAAGGAAGAAAAGCAAGGCTTGAAAAACTTCCTATTGGGTACCATGTTCTCTATCTGGGTGACAGAATCAATAGAAGTCCAAACCTTAGCATCATGCAATATACCCTTATAACAAACTTGCACATGTATGCCCTGAATCTGAAATTTATTTTAAAGTGCTAGGATGACATAATGCACAGCATCTAAATTCTTCCTTGGATATGCAAAGGTTTTCTTCTGTTACTTACACAAAGTGGTAGAAAAGAATGGAATGTGGTAGCACAGTAGGGGTCCACACCATTGGTACAAAACTCGGGCACTGGGGTCAGGGGAGGTCCTCTGCCTTTGTCCCAGATGTAGAGGGCAATCTGCCACAAGACAGGAGACAGGCAGTGATGAAAGAACTCAGTCAATACAAGTAAAAGAAGGGACAAAACATCTCAAGGGAAAGCAGAACACACCTTCCATAGAGAGCAGGTTGAATCGTATCAACTCGTCAATATCCAGCAGGACTTTTTAAACTTAAAAACAGCAATTCCATGTGAATACATCCAATCTACTACTAACAATAAGACATTAACTATGAATCAATATTCTGACCTCTAAAATTTCCAAAACAAGTGGTTTTAGGGAAGAACACATTCTACATCATCATCACAGAGACAGATTTAAGATGATATTATTATGTCTCCAGTTTCCTACAGTATGGTAATTACATACCCCAAACTTGCTTAAAACTCCAAAAACATTGGGCAAAATGCCCTTAAATATTTAAATGTATTGCTAAGTTGGCACAAAAGTATGGAACCTGTGAGAACAAAAATGGGAATGTGAGATGCTGAGGGGAAAGAAGCACCAAGCGTAGTTTTCCCTAGTAGGTATCAGCTGACCTCTGGCAAGACTGTTTCTGATAGGAGTGAAGAGCCTGAAGTCTATGACCCACCCAAGGTGGGGTGTGGCTAACAGCAAACCCCACATAAAGCTCAGACCATGGGTCTAAACAGATGGAAAATTTCTAAATCTCCTCTTAGATTTTGTAACCAAAAGCCAGGCCTCCCGAAGTTGTGCCACCTGTGAGGTCCCAAAACACCTCAAACTGATAAATTATCCCAAGTCAGTATAACCTACTAGCAATAGGCAGAAACTAATGTAAATCCTTACTAAGGAACCACAACCTTAATAGAAGCCTCAGAGGATTCTTCCAAAGGAACAAGGATGCTCACAGAACAATTGCTCAGAGAAAAAAAATCACTCACAAAAAAGAAGTAAGATAATGAACAAGAGCCAACTGACATAATTTAACCAGACTCAAAAGACTTTAGATATCAGAATTATCAAACCGATTATAAAATTACTATGCTTAATATATTTTTATAAAGAAAAGAAAAATTGTAAAACCTGAAAAAAAATCTTTCAAAAAGATTACACAAAACAAGCACATTTGAAAAATAATTAAATAAAACTTGTAGAAATAAAAAATAAAGTGAAAATTTAACAGGATTAATAGCATATTAGACAGTGATGAATAAAAAATTAAGAAACTAAAGAATGAAGCCCCCAAAGTCATCTATAAGGTAGCATAGCAAGAAATAGAGATGAAAAATGTAAAAGAGAAGTTCATACCTCTAGCATCCATCTAAAGTTCTGGGAGAATGTAAAAGAGAGAATAGGGATGAGAAAATAGTTGAGAAAACAATGGCTGAAATTTTTCAAAAATTGCTTAATAAGCCTACGAGAGAAAGGCCCAACAGACCCTAAACAGGATTAGAAAACAAGAGTCTATATCCAGATATATCACAGCGAAACTGCAGAAGACCAAAGACAGAGAAGCTTAAAAAGAGCCAGAAAAATGACAAATTATCTACAAAGGCACCACATTAGACTAAGGACTGATTTCTCGGCTTAATAACAGAAGCCACAGTATAGTGAAATCATACCATTGTGATGACAGAAAATGACTAGCAACCTAAAATTGTCTACATGATGTAAGTATGCTTCAAAAACTAGGTTATCCTGTAATCCCAGCACTTTGGGAGGCCGAGGCGGGCAGATCTGGAGGTCAAGAGACTGAGACCATTCTGGCCACCATGGTGAAACCCCATCTCTACTAAAAAATACAAAAATTAGCTGGGCATGGTGGCGCGTGCCTGTAGTCCCAGCTACTTGGGAGGCTGAGGCAAAAGAATTGCTTGAACCTGGGAGGCGGATGTTGCAGTGAGCCGAGATTACACCACTGCACTCCAGCCTGGCGCCTGGTGACAGAGCGAGACTCTGTCTCAAAAAAAAAAAAAAAAAAAGAAGAAAAAAAAAAGGTTGAAATAAATATTGTTAAAGAAAAAATATTGAGAGAATTTACTACCTCACTAAAAGAAATTCTAAAGGATACACCTCAGGAAGAATAATACGATGCAATTGGAAGGCCTAAGAAGCAAGATGGAATGATGAGCAAAAACAATGGCAAATATACGATGAGTTATTACAAATGTTAACTGCACAAAGTAATGATATCTAAGTTTCCAGGGTAAAAAGAAAAAGGGATAAAAATATTGAACAACAATTGCATATAAGTTGGCAGTGGAATAATCAGAGTTACATTACCCTAAGGACCTCACATTTTCTGGCTATTAATACACCACTGATAGGTTAAGAATGCATGTTAACATATTTAAAATAATCAGTAAAGTACAGACAGACAACTTCCAAAATAGCAGAAAAAGAAAAACATGGACTAATAAATAAATAAGTAAATAAAGAAGAAGACAAGGAACTTTAAAAAACAGAAAATAAGGATGGGGTAAAAAATAAAGTGATAGAAATAAAATACATCAGTAACTACAATCAACATAAAGGTAAATTTGCTCTCAGGTTTAAGATAAAGATTTTCAAAATGGAGGGGGTGGGGAAGGCATGTCCTCTTTAAAAGAGACACATCTAAAAAAGATAAGGACACAAAAGGGTTGAAAGAAAAAGATAAAAAATGATTATGAGGCGGGGCCGGGCTCGGTGGCTCACGCCTGTAATCCCAGCACTGTGGGAGGCCAAGGCGGGTGGATCACGAGGTCAAGAGATCGAGACCCTCCTGGCAACATGGTGAAACCCCGTCTCTACTAAAAGTACAAAAAATTAGCCGGGCGTGGTGGCGCATTCCTGTAGTCCCAGCTACTCGAGAGGCTGAGGCAGGAGAATTGCTTGAAACCGGAAAACGGAAGTTGCAGTGAGCCGGGATTAGGCCACTGCACTCCAGCCTGGCAATAGAGCCAGACTCTGTCTCAAAAAAAAAAAAAAAAAAAAAAAAAGATTATGAGGCAAGCAACCAAAAAATGCTTACATAGAAATATTCATATGAACAAAATAAACATTAAGACAAAGAGTATTACTAAAGACAGACAAATTCACTAAGAGTATGCAACAATTCTAAGTTCCTATGCACCTAATTAACATAGCCTTAGAGTATAAAAAGCAAGAGTTGGCAGTTCCATAAAAGAACTCTACCATTATTATGGAAGATTTCTATATTCCTCCCTTAGTAGAGGATAAGCAGACAAAACAAATGTAGAATGAAGGATTGAAGCAATGCAGTAAGGAAGAAAATAAGATATCTAAAAAGCATCATTAATACCTTCTTCAATCTAACAGATATGAAAACTGAACATGAGCTAGGCCATAAAGTAAGCCAAAAAGTGTTTCAAATGACTATTGTATAGACTACAATAATACTGTTAGAAATCAGTAACAGAAACACAACCACACACACAAATATACTGGGTCACGATGAAAACTTATTTTTTTAAGTGGGTCATAGTAAAAAAAAAAAAAAAAAAAAGTTTAAAAGCCTCTGCCTTGGAGCAGCTCTTAAAGATGATCATCATAACACACATCAAAATTATTCACAGAAGCAATGGTTGTAATAGCAAAAAACCAGCAACCACCCAGAAGCCCATTAACAAGACATAAATAAATAATTATGGTCATATGGGAGACTACTATAGAAAGTAAAAATAAGTTAATTAGAGCTGCATGCATCAACATGGATTAGTCTCAAATTAGAATAGTATTTGTGACAGAAGTGGGAGACAGCCAAATGCCTAGGCAAATAGGGAAGGACCCCTGGAGAATCTCTGATCTGCCCCACAAGTGTTTATTTACACCAAATGTTTTGTGTGGATTAGGGAACCGCCACAGGAGGCTTACCTGGGCATGCCCACAGCAGACTGGAGGCCTAAACACACTGGGGGATTGGGGTGGGGCCACCAGGAGTTGGTGCCTTATGGAGGGGAGAGTGGCCTCTTAAACTCATGTGTGGGGCCCCCAATATTCATTTTATGAGATGGAAACCTGCTGGCAGGACCCCCTCTCTTTGCTGAGAGCTTTCCTTTCACTTAAATTCCACCCTCCTCATCCTTCAGTCTGTATGCCTAATTCTTCCTGGTCATAAGACAAGAGTCCAGATTAGCTGAACTAAGGAGCAAAAACATCCTGCATCATTTGTATACAATTTTGTTTATATGAAGCCCAAAAGGATGCAAAATTACATGTTATTCAGAAACACATTCATACCTAATAAAATATGAAGAAAAGGAAGAGGGAGACAATTCAAGAGAGTTTAGTTTGGGGAGATGGAAGGAGACCTCTCCTGGAGAAGCACATAGGTAGCCTCAAGGTAACTGGTAATAGTCTCCTTCTTAAACCAGGCAAGCTACTTGAGTATTCTGTTCATTAATCTTTATACCCTTTATAGATGTTAGAAATATTATTTTGTATATATTCAACATTTACTAGATTTCCAAACCTAAGTATCTATACTAGAGCTGACTTTTCTTTAAATCTATCTAGGCAGAACTTGTTTTTCAACAAGTCATTTTTTTCATCTTTGTGGAAGAGAAGAATTATGTATATTTATACTCAAATATTCTGTATTATCATTTAAAGACACCTGAGAAGTTAGAAAGTCTTATGTGTGCCTTCTTGTTCCTGGTAGGCCATTAGCACTGCTGGACTGAATTACATGCCAAGATTTACCTTCATGTCCCAACATACAGATTCCTGCAGAGAATGAGAGGCAAGACTGTTTTACACAGTCAGGCATGCCCACAAATGAAATTCAAAAAGGGCCTTCTTAATGATGATTTGAGAATGATTAATGATGGATCACCTGCCTCCAGGATAAGTGGTTACAGATGCCCACTAAATGTGAAGAAACCAGGAGTGTTCGGGCTCTAGGCTGCCTGCTTGGGACCAATTAGCTCAATTCTGCTCCAGGGGGCCAACCACAGACACACAACAAAGGCATATGTCTTAGCCTGTTGAGGCTGCTACAATAAAATACCATAGACTGAGTGGAGTCTAAACAACAAATTTATTTCTCACAGTTCTGTGGGCTGGGAAGCCTAAGATCAAGGGACTAGCAGATTCAGTGGTGAGGGTCTGCTTCCTGGATCATGGATGGCACTTCTAGCTGTGTCCTCACATGGTAGAAAAGGCAAGGAAACTCCCTGGGGCCTCTTTTATGAGAGTGTTAATTCCATTCATGAGTGCTCCATCTTGTACCCTTACCATCTCCCACAGGTCTACCTCCAAAGACCATTTCACTGGGGCTCAGGTTTCAAGGTATGAATTAGGGGTGGGGGACATGATCATTTAATCTATAGTGGCATATGTACAACCAAAGCATCAAGTAAGAGGTACTTTTAATGACATTTTGCATGTTTTTAGAAATCTACCTCTGGACCCATCCATCTAGCTTGAAAACAAAGAATCATGAATCACAAGATGCAACCTTTTTCACTGTTCTGTCTTCACCTATATAACTGAAATGAGCTTAAAATGATAGGACCTAATTCACTGGAGTGCTGTGAAATTATCTTTATGGGGAGAAGATAGATGTGGGTGGGGAAAACGCACGGTTAGGAAATGTAAAACACCTTTTATATCAAAGGACATGAATTCTTGATTACTAGGACTTTTAAACAAAACATGACATACCTCATGTTTTAAATCTATTGTAAAGTCGGATTTCAGGGATTCACTCTTTAGTCTCTTGGTAAGCCTGAAAATAGAGACAATTTGATTTTTATAACCAAAAGAAATGTCAAACAAGACTAAAACATTCTTGAGACTTTCTAAAGGGTTTGAAAACAGATATATATACAGACTTAAAGATAAAAATAGTAGTTTAATTTCCTTGAGGGAAAGGGCTATAAAAATGTAATGGTTTGTTGACCAATAAGTAGCATTCATTATTCCACCATCTGCCAAATAATGTAAAATACAATACAATGCCTTGGGGAAAAAAGTCATGAGCTTTTTTGACTCCTGATAATCTTTTTTTTTTTTTTCTTTTTGAGATGGAGTTTCACTCTTGTTGCCCAGGCTGGAATACAATGGCACGATCTCGGCTCACCATAACCTCTGTCTCCTGGGTTCAAGCGATTCTCCTGCCTCAGCCTCCCGAGCACCTGGGATTACAGGCATGGGCCACCATGCCCGGCTAATTTTGTATTTTTAGTAGAAATGGGGTTTTTCCATGTTGGTCAGGCTGGTCTTGAACTCCTGACCTCAGGTGATCCACCCACCTTGGCCTCCCAAAGTGCCGGGATTATAGGTGTGAGCCACCATACCCGGCCGACTCCCGATAATCTTTATACTAAATAATGACAGAGAAAGAAAAAGGAAAGGGAAAAATAAATTGTGCTTCAGAAACAGACATGGCAACTTTTTGTTTCTTACTTTAAGGAATCCTGCTGGATTTTATGGAGAAAAAGTATATGGTTTGGGGGAAGAATCACAGTTTTATTTCAAGTCGCTGTCTTGTTTAAAATTTTTTCAGTGGCTCCTTTCCCCTATAGAATAAAGCCCGAACTCCTGAGCCAGTCTTGAGGGCCATACCACTCCCCTGACCATCTGGAGCTTCACAGCACCCACTTGCTACACCCAGAGCACATGCCTCCTCATTGTTCTCTCCCTCCGGACATCTGCCTAGAGTGTCTGAACCCAACCTTTACTGAGCAAACTTGTAAACACCAAAGTCATGGGTAACTTCTCCGTAAAACTTTTCCAGACTTGCTCACCACAGTAAATGGAAACTTCCTTGGCCACCAAAGTACAGATCTATCAGCTTTATCACATGCATTAAAATCTGGTGCGTACACAGCTCTCTCTGTGCTACACTTTCTTCTCTGTCTTGCCAGCACTGCCCACTGTACCATGCCACAATGAGCACTCCATGAGCTCCCTGAAATGAATTAGGCAATATATTTTTTGATTCAAAGTTAACAAGAGAGGAATACTTACCCAAATCACCAAAATACCATATGGCTCTGTATTTCTTTATAGAGCTGAAGACTAGACCATTAGTTTAAATTACAAACCTCCTAATACATAGTTTCACTACAAAGAAAAAATAGTGATTTTTAAAAGGAAGAATAGGTTGGGCACATTAGCTCATGTCTATAATCCCAGCACTTTGGGAGGCAAAGGCAGGAGGACTGCTTGAGGCTAGGAGTTAGAGACCATCCTGGGCAACACAGTTTAACATAAAATTTAAAATAATTATTTTTTAAATTTTAAATTAGTTGAGCATGGTGACATGCACTATAGTCCTAGCTACTCAGAAGGCTGAGGTGGGAGGATGGCCTGAGCCCAGCAGTTGGAGGCTGCAGTGAACTATGATCATGCTACCATGCTCTTGCCTGAGCAACAGAGACCCTGTGTCAAAAAAAAAAAAAAAAAGACGGAAAAAAAATTTATAAAGAAAATGGAAAAATAGTATTGTTTCAATTTTTTTCTACTGTTTTTAATTACATCTGTTGGTTGGGCCATGAAAATTTTCTATAAAAATTCGCTTCTGATTAGAAGAAGGACAGAAAGCAGACACAAGATAAATTTGTTTCATTACAAAGAGTTTGTCTCACAGCTGATACTAACATACCTTGGTAGAAGGTAGCACCAAAAGAAGCCCCATATAATATCTGTCACATTCCTGTTCAATATTTGTCCACAGATCTGTGAGTATAACTGGGGTGGACTGAGAGACTACATCCTCAGATACACTCGCAATATATACTTAGAGAAAAAAAAGTCTGCCCTGGCAAATGAGATCTTGTCCAATTTGAATTCTGCTCAGTTGGAACAACTTTTCATAAACAAACTGTATCAAGATAACTTTGGGATTTGGACTCATGCCACATGGCTTCAAAATTTAAACAGACCACAAAGAGTAAGTATTCATTTCATTCAGGCTCCAAAGACAGAAAAGTCATACCCAGGCTTATTGTCACAGGCAAGGAACCAAGTTGTGATCAGAATCCAAGAGGCATGTGACCTCCACTGTTAGATGGCCATGTTTCATAGGCCCTTTCATAACAGTCAATAAACACCTTAGTATTATTACCTTAAACATGCTCTCCATTTTTTTGACTTTTCAAGTTTCTTTCTCATTGAATCCTTGAAAATTATTTTTCGTTGACAGAAACCTCAGAAGGAGAAAAAGTAAAAACCACTGACAGAATTTCTGAGACAGGGCCGGGTGCAGTGGCTCACGCCTGTAATCCTAGCACTTTGGGAGGCCAAGGCAGGTGGATCACCTGAGGTCAGGAGTTCAAGACCAGCCTGGCCAACATGGCAAAACCCCATCTCTACTAAAAATACAAAAATTAGCTGAGCATGGTGGTGCACACCTGTAATCCCAGCTACTTGGGAGGCTGGAGCAGGAGAATTGCTTGAATGTGGGAAGCAGAGGTTGCAATGAGCCAAGATTTCCTGCCACTGCATTCCATTCTGGGTGACAGAGCAAGGATCCATCTCAAAAAAAAAAAAAAAAAAAAAAAAAGGAAAAAAAAGAAAAAAAATTTTCTGAGACAGAGACAGACTAATGAGAGGACAAATGAATATGTACATGACTATCTTTCAGTGGCAATCTCTTGCAACCCACAGAGTATACCATAACCAAGTCATGTTTACCTCGGTATCACAGCCTTCTAGTGGAGGAGTTAGCCTCACGTGCCACCTCAGGTCTATGTCAGTCACCCAGTCACCTTGCAAACACGTTCAAGTTCTAAGAGTGTGCAGGATGACCAACTAACTAAAAAGGCAATACCTAGTTGTAGTAACTGGGTTTCATTTTTCTATACACCAAGCAAGGTAACAGGGTTTTCCCAATGTCAGTTTCAGTAACCAACACCACCAAAAAACCAATGAAAGCCAGAAATTCCAGTTACTCGGATGAAACGTTTCCCCAATAAATGTTCAATTCCCGGCATATATCACATTTGGTACTTAGCTTTCCTAATTTTTAGAGGGTATTAAGTCATGGCCCCAATAGCACAGTTCTAATGACAAAACCACCTAAGCTACAGATGTGCAAATGACTGAAGGCCCTCTCAACGCAACACCAGGAAAACTCCTAGCTGACGTTTTCAGTCCCACTTGTGAATCAGTCAACAGAGCAACCTGCTGAGGGAAATCTAGATACAGTTTGCTGGTGAAAAAACAATGGAGAAAATCAGTTAACAGTGTCTTCTAACAACATATATTTGAAGAAATCACCTTATTGGAAGTTAATGAAAATTTCTCCAAAAATCTAAAAACTAAAACAATAGTTTTAATTGATCAAATGCATGGATTGCCAAGAAATATTAGGCAGTGTGAACTCAAAACTCACTGATGTGGAATTGCTAGGTCAAATAAAATTTTGGTGGGAACCAACTTAAGAAAATATGTCTTATGAAATATCTTTAGGTAACCAGTTGTCCTGGAGACTAAGGCAGAAGAAATACTTAAGTAACTGTAAGTTGTTGCCCTACCTACAATGTGGGACATAAAGTCAAGGAAAGGACACACAGGGAACTGACATTCCTGGACTGGTACTGTTGGTTGTCTGTACAATACAGAGTTTCTCCTTCATTCTTCCTAAACAAATTCTGGTTTTAATTAATATTGAGCCCAACAATTAAACAGCCTCCAGAGTCAGAGATTGATTACTCTGGGCTAGCCAGAATATTCAATGAAATTCCCTAGCAACTGTTAATAGTCTGGGGATTAGAACGCATGTGCAGTTAGCCCAACCAGACTGAGGATAGGACTTACCATTCATGGTCGGGAACAGGCTATTTACTATCGGATATAAATAGGAAATATGTAGCCCTTATTGTTTTGAAACCACCAGAGGAACCAGATTTAGGATAAATGGATTCTGTGTTCTCTAGGCTGAGCGTAGGTCCTCAATGATACTGATAAACTGCTGGTTCAACCAACCATAGACCTCACCCCAATTATAGCAATAGTATTTCCTTAATCCAGTTTGAGTTGCTTCCTATTACTTGCATCCAAAGCATGCTAAATGATGTAGATGCTAATAATAGGAAGAAACAGTCAGCACATTAGCTTTGAATTGGAAAAAAAAAAAAAAAAACCGCTAGGAAGAACCAATGTTGCAGTTGCTGGGGCTAATGGATACTTTATCCTTCCTTTAGTCCTAAGTATAATACCAATTTCTTGAAGAATAAATAAGAATCCCCACCAGAAAGCCATTTTAAGATATATCTTGATCACAAGATAGCAGCTATGCCAGATGGGTTATATCATTTTATTTGCTTGATTACTTGCTGGCATCAGAAGGAAAGGAAATATGATCTAAGATAACTAGAATTTTAAATATGGCACCATGGTAGAGTCTGCACATTTATTTTGCTTTGTTTTTGCTGGATATTAATGAACTATTCTACAGTTTGTTGGTCACTGTTCAGCATTGTGACAAGCAGATGACACACCATGCAGAAGGCTATTTGGTACCTCACTACGCTCTCATATTGGAGTCACAGAGAAGTGCTGGGAATTTCCTGAGCTCTGTGAAAAAGATTAACCTCTTGGCCTTAATTCCCTTAGTCATAGTTCCCCATTGCTATGGTCTGAATGTTTATGTTCCCTCTCGAATTCATAGGCCTAAGTCCTGCCCCTCAAGGTGATGTTATTAGGAGGCAGGGCCTTTGGCAGGTGATGAGGCCATGGGGAGGAACTCTCATGAATGGGACTGCACCACTATAAAAAAGACCCCTCACCCTTTCTGCCACATGAGGGGCCACAACAAGAAGGAAAGGAACCAGAAAGCCAGCCCTCATGAGACACTGAATCTGCCGGTGCCTTGATCTTGGACTTTGGCCTCCAGATCTGTGAGAAATAAACTGTCGTCGTTTATAAGCTCCCTGGTTTATGGCATTTTCTTGTAGCAGCGCAAAGAGACTAAGATACCTACACACCCTGCTGCAGTGATGAGGCCCTCAGTTCTCTCCCCTAAATACTGTTAAACTTGACTAGAAAGAGAGCTATCTACGGAAGCTGCACTGGCTGCCTTGCCTTGTCAACAGATGTGTTCAATGATCTCACAAACACAACAGGGAAGGGATTCATGGACCTGTGTGTGGTCTCCTGTGGGACTACCTTGCAAAATGCCAGATAATCCGTAACATAAATTCGCCCCTTAACAAGGCTAACATCTTGGCTAGTGCGCAACCTGCAACCCTGGTTCACAAGTCCCCAGAAGCTAGTCATGTGGTGAGCATGGGATAGTAATGAGGTGAGCACTAGCCAGAGCCAGCAGAACCGGCCAGTGCTCTGGGTACTGCTACACTTATGAGCAGTGAAGCAGGGGACAGAGGTTTCCTCAAACAGGTTATACTTAATGCCAGCATGTCAGCCAATAAGAGTTGAGCTGAACTGCCCTACACAGGGATGCCAGAAGTCAAAAATGTATTCAAACAGAATCACTTCCATCCATCTGCACCTGGTTAAGACAGTCAAAGGAAGCAAGAATAAATAGTTACTTCTAACACCTAATTCAACAAAAACTTAATTGAATTCAGCATCAAGAGGTCTCCAAGAAAGTCTTGCTACAGGAAGATAGGAAATTGTGATGGGAAGAAGGGAGGTAAAACTCTAGACTATAGGATTTGCCTTCAAGATGAGAGGCCTCCTGGATCAGAAGGCAGTGATGAAGAAAAGAGCTCACCTGGCCTTCAGGGAAAGGATTACGCTCCCTGCTTGCCATACAGCTGTTCCTGGGTCCACTGGTTTCCTCTTTAGTCCTGGAGGAAGAAACACCTGCCGCACTCACAGCACTTTACAGAGAAGGCTATAGCTGTGTTCGTTCCTCTCTCAAGGGACTTCCATAGCATACAGGAAATGGGAGAGAAACAGGCTTATGCAGGGGTTGGGACTTCTCCCACAAAGAAGTCACACCAAATCTTTCCATACTGTAAAACAAACTGGAGACAGAACAAGGAAGGCTAGAGGAAGCCTCCTGTGGTGGAGGATGAGAAGAATACATGAAGAAGGGAGAAGGGACAGTGGCTCAGCCTACTAAGTTCAGGTCACAGCTTCTATTCATTAAGAGTCCAGACTCAACAAAGGTAGCTGAACAGGCCCCAACATAAGGCTGCTGGACACTGTGGGAAAAGAGTGTCCTGGGAGCTCCTGGTCCTCAAGCAGTAGCAAACCAAAGTGTATTTAATTTGAGAAGAAATATGACCCAAGGCTGCTGAAGAGCAGAACATATTCCCCTCTTCCCTGCAGAGCACAGAACCAGGCAGACCAGTAGAGGGTGAGAAGGCAACAACCACTACTTCTTCTGGTCTTCACTCCCCTTCCTCCTTGACCCTTCTAAGAACAGAGGGAGGAAAACTGTGCAGATGCTCTTAGGCATGCTTGCTAGGGGCCAGGGGAAGGGCATCAATGCCTAGCAGTCCCAGGACTGAGTACGTGAGTCAAGGATCTTAACTGGAAACAAAAATAATCCACTGTGGCTAAAGCATAACGTACATTTATTAAAGCATACAGGCGGCTCATGGAATTACTGGAAAGTCTGAGTAAAAGACTCTAAGGTGAGATTCCAAGAACCCCCTGATTTGTACCACAGAAATGGGCAGCTTAAGAGCTGCAGACTCTGCCATCATCAGGAAGCTGCTGGCAACCCACAAATGACTCTCCCTCTGCCACGAATCTCAATTCAAATGTCCCCCCATGCTCTGTCTCCTTCCCCACACAATTCAGTTCCCAAAAATATAAACACGAACATAACACATTTACTTGATGGAACCTACAACATACGGCTGCTTCCTTCCTAGCAAAGAAGGCTAGGACGCACAGGAGGTTTTGTTGTTGTTTGGATTCTACACTGGAAAGGAGGGCATCACACTACAGAGAACTTTCAAATGTAAAAGGAATAGTCAAGAAGTTTTGGCCAGCCATGAATGACAAGGTATGTACTACCCTGTATATCCACAATGGGCTAAAAAGATTTAAAAGACTCCAAATCCTAGAAACAGGACACTTAATGATAGAAAGTCTTTCATCTCTAAAGATATGAAAGCCACAAGTGCTTTATCAGCTTTCCATTCCCTGGAGAAGAAAAACATATAAGTAATCTAAAGGGTCTGTCAACAATCATATCTCCTGAATTACAATTTAACTATCTTCACTTTCCACATCTAACAGAGCACCACTGTGACTACGCACACAAATACCTAGGTATACCTATAGCACCTTCCACCAGCTGTCCCTCCTGCCTGGGCTGTGTTTAAGTATGCATAGCCATGCACATGACGAGTCATCAACTCTCAACCCCAGCATGGTACTGATTCATTTTCTTGGCGGTAATCAAAGTTACATCTATAGCTAAGTAGATCCCTTAACAATGGTAACGATGCTTCCATGTGCATGGTTCTCACAGCACTTCTGTGCTCTCCCTTAGTCTCACAACTTATTATTTTGTGGATGAGCAAGAAGTACAGAGAGGTTGAATGATTTATCTGAAGGGTCTAGTAAATGACAGAGCTGAAGCAGAAACCCTCAGGCATCTGGCTCCTTTTCCAGGTCTTACCACACACTGCCTCTGGCTGAAAAACTCATTTGAGATCCTGAGATCCATCAGTTACAGTACTCAATGAAATTAAAGTTGAATGCACACCCCTCTCACCCCCCCACAAAAAAGTCCAATAAATTCTTACTTGTTTACAAGTGGAATACTTAAGGCCCAGCCTGCAGCAAAGTCTGGATACTTAAAAACTGTAGGATTCTCGGAAAAGGCATAATGGTGAATTATTGTAGATTCTTCATCATGTAATGCTTTTCCTAAAAACCATTCCTGTTAAATAAAGATACAAGTCACCTTAAAAACAATCATTTCATGTAAGACCAATACAAAGTTGTACTATTAGTTTTAGATAATTAAATATTTTGGGTGATAATGAGTTATTAGCACAAATGAAGTAACTCTAGAGAATGTGAACAAAAATATAATTAACACTAGTATGATAATGAATATAACAAAGCTCTGTATATAGAACGTAGTTCAAGATCTGATCATCAGGATGAACAAAACATTAGTCATCATTATACCATAAATGTGTAAAAGTGGTATTTTATAGAATATTCCACATAAAAAGACTATTAGGGCAGAGAAAATAGTATACCCTTATACCTTACTGAGGTTTTCAAACAATAATTGGAAAAATTCCTTTCAGAATCAGTGATTATTTATTTATTTATTTGTTCAAAGGATTTTTACTGAGAATCTACCACACACCAGGCAGGAACACACTTACCCTACAGTGGAGAAATGGAAATTAAGCAAGTAAATAAAATAACTTCAGGTAGTTGTGCTATGATGAAAATAAATCAGGGTGACTAGGAGCTGCCCTGAAAAGACAGGGAAATCTCGTATGATGTAACCAACTGAAAGGAAAATATCAAGGAGCTGGCTCCATGCAAAAATCTGTTAGCCATATAATGATGACTAGCATTTTGTTCATCCTCAGTAGCGAACTGAGATGAAATAGTATCAAAGAGCCAGCTCTATGGAAAAATCTGAGGAAGATCCATCGAAGGACTTAATGCAAAGTACCTAAGTTGGGAAAATGTTTGATATAGTCAATGAAAAAAGAAATCCAGTGTGGCTGGAGCTACTGGGGGTGGGAATAAGGTACAAAAGAGACAGGCAAAAGGCCGACCAGGGTGAGTTTTATGTGCCAGAGGAAAGGAGCACAGACTTTATTCTAAGCGTAACAAAAGACTTCCACTTCTAACCCCAATAGCATAATCTGGATCACATCTACTCTCCTGCTGAGAACAAGTATAAAAGCTGGAGAAATGACATAAAGCAAATGATCGAAGCCATCAGAAAAAAACAAAGGCAGGTAGGACATAAAGGGCTAAGATCCCAGAATTAGAAAGCCATCCATGGAAGCCGCATATTGGCCTCCTCTTTTCCTCAAGGAATTTGCTGATTCCTAGAACTACAAATAGCACACAGCCAAAGCAGCAGCTAGGAGATTTTGTAACCTCACCAGACTAAAGAGACAGAAGAAGCTGGAGCTGGAGACATTGAGAGTAGAGATGTAAGGGGGTCCCAAGATGCTGCATGCACATTTCCCTCAATGACCTAAGCTGCACAAAAACCGAAGGAAAAAATAAGAACCAAGCAGAAAGCAGCAGTGGAGAGGCTACAAAGCTGAACAAAGCCTTCAGCAATACTGTAGTGCTGGGAGACCAAGGTTGGAGTTCAGACTCTGCCAGGACAAAAGGGCTCTGGAGTAAGGGCAGTCTACAAACAGACCTATCCAAACAAGGTCTACAATCCAGAAGATTACATCCTTCTATATGTAGGAAGTCCTATCATCTATAGCGTTCTTAATTTTTCACATAAAACACCTGAGATTTAGTCAAAAATATCAGGCAGAGAAAGAAACAAGACCAAACCAGAAAAGTGAAAAACAAAAAGAGATGCACAGATGAGACAGATTTTGCAGTTATCAAATAAGACTTTTAAATAGCTATGGTTAACATGTTTTTTAAGCATAAAAATTTTTCTTTTCAATTGCACCAAAGAACTGGAATTTATAAACAAGAGCCAAATGAAAAATCTAAAACTTAATAATGCAAGAACTAAAGTTAGTAATTCAAAAGAATATTAAGCATAATAGCAGAGAAGATTTAACTGGGAAGTTAAATCTTTCCAGATTTAAGTCTGGAAAGCAAGTCGGTAAAAAATATCCAGACTGTTACAAGAAAAATAAAGGAAGGACAATAGAGAAAAGAGCTTATGGCAATATGAGACAGGGAAAGGGATGAAATGTACAACACTGGAAACCAAGGATAGACAGAATGGAACTGAAGCAATATTTGAAGAATGCAGGCTTGGAATTTTCCAAAACTAACAAATGTCATCAAGTTCTAGACTCAAGAAGCTCTATAAACTCCAGTGAGGGCAAATAAAATCACACATAGGCACATAATGGTAACACTGTTTGAAGAAAAAAATGAACCAATCTAAAGCCTTGGGTTTTTAATATGAGCAAGTGGAGAGACAGTAATGCCATTTCTGGATGAGGAAGACTGAAGATGTAAGAGGTTTAGAAAGGCATTGAGAGTTCAGTTTTGAACATTTCGAGTTTTAGGTTCCTGTTAGGTAAGCAAAGGAATGAAGTAGGCAGCTTGACATAAGAGTAGAGAGTACATGGCTGACTCCCTCAGTTCCTCTGCTCTGTTCAAATGTGAGCTGGTAAGTGAGGTATTCATTGAATACCCTATTATGGACAGGTAAGCCCATTCCCAATACATCCCTTACTCCCTTATTCTGCTTTATTCTTCTCCATGGCACTTGTACCATCTGACACATTATACATTTATTTGCATTTTTCTTTATTGCTTTTTTTCCCTGAAACAAGAATACCACCTCCTTATAGGCAGGGATGTTGTCCAGTTTGTTCACTGCTATATCTCCAATACACCTAACATGTAATAGATGCTCAATAACTTCTTGTCAAATGAATATAGCAAGTCCAGGAGAGGTTTAAAAAGCAACTCTCCTCTACTGAAGAAACTAGAGCATACAATTTGAATCAAGTACCCTGAGTTCTAAAAGTTTTACACATTTTCTCTCTAATCCAACCAAGACCACCTTATTCTCTATTGTTTATCAGAATATAAAATCAAGAAGATATCATACATGAGCACTCTTAGGTATTTCTTAAGAGCCTTATTCTGCTTGTGGTTGTGTTGCAAATACCTGCCAGAGTTCTAGTTTTCCTCAGTTCAGCAAAGGTCATAACTGAACATATGTGACAGCTATTAATTTTTAAATCTAACACTAAAACTATATATTTAGATTCACAGATCCATATGACTTTCTTCTTGACACTTTGCCTATGGATATATGAAGTCATTACTGGGTAAGAGTAATACCCTGTAACGGCCAAGACAAATGACCTCAGCTTGAGATGAAAATTCAACCTTTTTTAAAAAATCAATAATAAAGCTCTTTATCAAGTGGTTTATCAAGCAACTAAACCCATATGAAAATCACCATATTTTACATACCATGCCAATATAGCTTGTATAAAGAAAATAAACATCCAGTACATTTTGGAAACTTTCTTACAAATCTTTCACTATTAAAACCTTTCCCTATTAAAACCTCTGGTTCCGAATAGTTTTATGCAAAACATGTTATGGCTTATCTCCTAATTGCAGTGTTCAACTGTAGAGTATATGACTGTTTTTCAACATTTTTGGGTGGGTTATAAACTACTTTAAAAAATTATTATAGAATCTATGGAAAGAGCCACTCCCCTAATCTTTATTAATGACTTTCTTAATGATTTCATTAAAAGGACAATTATAATCAAAAAGAACCTTAAAATAACTCAGTGTTCCACTAGTATCTTAGAATTACTTTTTACAAGCACCTATGTTTTATTTCTATTAAAAATGCATTTAGGCCAGGTGAGGTGGCTCCCACCTGTAATCAATCCCAGCACTTTGGGAGGCCAAGGCAGGTGGATCACTCAAGGCCAGGAGTTCAATACCAGACTGGCCAACATGACAAAATCCCATCTCTACTAAAAATACAAAAATTAGTCGGGTCTGGTGGTGCATGACTGTAGTCCCACCTATTTGGGAGGCTGAGGCATGAGAATCACTTGAACCTGGGAGGTAGAAGTTGCAGTGAGCAGAGATTGCACCACTGCACTCCAGCCTGGGTGACAGAGTGAGACTCTGTCTCAAAAAATAAATTTAAAGTCAACATACTTCATCAAATACACATATATTAAAAGCATACTGTGGTTACAAAGCAAAGACTTCAAACAACATGAAAAATTTATATAAATCACTGAGGAAGGTAATTTAACAAAGATTACTTTAATACAAGTTAAAGTTTTACATTTAAAATACGTTACGACAGTATACCTTTTCGTATTAGTAAGAATGATTGAAAGATGAAGGAAAAACATCAGAATCAAACAAAATGCCTTATACCCTAATACATTACATAATTATTTTAATGTACACAAAGCTTATTTGTATAAATATCAAAGCCAGGTTTGCTTCATACTTTTTTCCTGAGTTTCAAATGGTGGGGAGAAAAAAAATCACAGTGGTTTCAGCCAACTTCAACATTATATAATCTTTATCATTTCTTACTGTTAGTTTCAAAAGAAATAAAGCATCCTAGATATTTTTTTTCATATGGCAGAGTTCAGAAAAGAGGGGGAAAACGTCTCCTTTTGCCTCTGTTCTGTACTTGCTTTTCATGAACTTGCTTTGAACTTTTAAATTTGTCATCCCAATTTTCATTAAAAAGCAAAGTGAGTCACCATCTCCTGTACAGAATTAGAGCTATGGATAATGGAAAAATAATCTCCAGGTGAAATGAACACTAGGAGGAGGTTAAAACTCCTACATCCTAAGAAAGATTTGGGAGTTTTTCTCAAGCCAAAAGGAAACATAAAAGCCTAACAAATGGTTTACATAAAACCTGGCAAAAAGTACACAGATGCTGGTTAATGTCATTGGAAAAGACTGGATGAGACACGTTCATATTTCTTTCCTTTGAAGGAATTATTTTTTTAACCCAATGACCTTCTCATCCAATTATATCTAAAGCTTCCCAGAAATCAAAAGCATGAAGAAAAATCATAATGAATCTTTCCAGTATTTAAAGATCATCAAAAGCAGTGGTTTCTATCATAGTAACAGACTTTCCAGTGTTTGGAGAAATTAATCTAACGATCACTGTTGTCCAGTGTTTGACATCTACATCAACAAACCAAGCAGCACCCAGAAGCTTGCCTTTTATTCCCCATGAGCTCATTACATCTGATTCATCTCAGGAGTGAGCATCTGAAGGTAGGTGGGACAGGTTTCCGCTGGGACCAGAAAGGGCCCAACTCTGCTTATCTCAAGTTTAAAGAATTCCAAAAAGTGATCAGGTTGTAACCTGGGCTTCTTTCCTCTGAAAGAGATCTGAATGAGCTCCATTTACTTTTGACACATTTCCAAGGCAGCTCTCTAAACCTAAGGAGCCTTTGAACATAGCCCAGCAGCAAAACTGATTACTACAGGGTTATAAAGTCATTGACAAATATTCACTGAACACCTACTAAATGTTAAACACTCTGCTCAGGGCTAGGGATTTCAAGGCAAACAAGATCCAGTTGCTAATCTGTGCAAAATAAAAATAAGATTTGAAAATGTAAAAGCAGTACTGTAGTGGACTTCACTGAGTTCCTCTGGTTTAAGATACATCCCTTCTCACCCCCATTCTTTCTCAAATAGTGTTCCTTCTGCCTGCAGACCCTCTTTCTCTCTTGCTAACTCCTACTCATCCTACAGAACTCAGATTGAATGTCACTTCCTGTCCTAACCCTCCTAGGTTAGATTCCATGCCCCTGTTACATGTCTCTAACAGCACCCTCGTCGTCTTTATTAGAGATGTTTTGCTTCTAACCATAACTGCTTCTCTAAGGGTCTGTTTTCCCTGCTATTTTGTGCCACCCACGTGGTCAGAATTGTTATCTGTTTTGTTCTAGCCTCTGCCATCCACAGTGCTCAGTATACAGCTGGCATTCAAAATAATTTTTCTATCTAAAATATGGTCACTGTGTCTGATAAGAAGAAATAGCCAACTTAAGTTTATTACTACGATAAGCAGTTTCTGAACTTCAAGGTATAGTTTTCAACTCTGAAACTGCCAACACATATATTAACAGATTTTTTTTCATTTAAAATGGCTTGTTATAAGCTATGTCCCTCTATAAGCTACAAATTTCAAAGAGAATTATTTAACATATCTTCCAGACATTCAACAATGTTTCATTCTTTTTCATTTTAAACTCAGTGGTTTTTTATTAGATTCAAAAGCCTCTTAATCAAAATTAAATCTCCTTTGAAACACTGTCCCCCAAAATAAGAACTGGTATTGAAGTTATATTCACCTTAGAGGAGTCATATCTTCTGAGAGTTTCCAAGAGTTTTAGAACCTGTATTCTTGTCTCTTCTTCACAGAAGAAAATCCATGATGAATTTCTGCTATATGTTACCGAAAAGCTGACAAAAAGAAACAAGTTTCAGTAATCACTTCTGTAAAATGAGTTAATAATAAGGTTTAAAACTGGTCAGTAGGAAATGAATGCAGGGTACACAGAATGGCATACCTAGTTTCTTCCCTCTATATTTTTCTTCAGCTTATAGAAAAGCCAGATGCTAATGGTTTATAAAACAGTCAGAGTTCTTAATTATCTCCATAACAACATTAGTTCAGGGGATAAATAACTTTCAAATATCAACTTCAAGCATTTTATCTTTTAAGAGAAAGCACATATAAAAACAAAAGCTATTCATGATTAAGAACCAATCATCAATAAATTTGATTAAGGTATTAATCATAAAAAGTAAAACTCAAATTTACTTCACTTACTGACTGAGGAAAACCACACTCTCTTAATAAAAAGACTAGGGGCATAAAAGTGTTCAGGTTGGAATGTCAGTCATTCACACATTGTGAGTTAAACGTACTGCGGTAATAATGGAAGTATGGTCCATGCACCTTCTTGTTTAGCTAGCTGATGAAGGAGGAGGACACTGGGGAGCTCCTGAAAAAAACAATGATCAAAGAAGATAAATATGAATTGACCACTCCAAAAAAAGTTTAAAAAGAGAAGAAAAGGTTTGGCTTAAAATGCAGCTATTTCTACAGCCCTGACATGGTACTCTTCACACCACTTTTTTTTTCCTCATTTTCTCCAGGAGCTACTGGAAATGAAGTATTTTGGCTGAATCCGTGCAACCTCTGCACCACCCACGCACTCAAATAGGGCTCAAGACCTACAAGGAGGGTCTTCCTTGACTCAGAGCCAACCTGAAATCTGTAAAGGTGACTTGAAGGGAAGAGCCTGGGGGAAGTAGTGAGGGATAATTCAAAGGCACAGAAGCAGTTTTTTATTTTATATACATATGGAACATGTTAAAAGAAAAACCTTTTGGCTAAACTGGAGGATACAATATCTGATCTACCTCATGTGCAAAAATTACTTTTTGAAGTTCCCTAAACACATTAAAACACTCTGATAACAAAAAGTTTTGGTCTAGAAATATAATCCTTAAATTATTCAGGCAATAATAGAATAGCATAATAATGGAATTGGTAAATTTATAAGCATAGGAGGCACTAAAACTCAGAAATAAGGCACAACTGCACTTACATAAATTATATACACATATATAAAGAGAGATTTTTAAGGCTACAAGTGTAAGCTTTGAAATAAAACACTATTTGCTATATTTCAAGTTGTTACAAAAGCCAAAAGTCAAAAATTTCGTATCTGATATGCTTAAACCTCCTCCCCCAACAAACTTTATTATATCCTGTGTTTTATACTAGCTATAAAACTATATTCCTAGTAGCCATTACAGACAAAAGAATTTAAGTGCCTAAATATCTGAAATATTACTGGACTGTGGGTTCCACAGCAGTCTTAAAATTCATAGATATTTATTATGAAGAACACAACAGTCTTTAATATAAATCCTTGGAATTAAATTTCAAGTAAACCTCATTTATTTATTTTATATAGTATTCAACTTCCATGTACAAATATAAAATGCAAAAAACAGCAATCAAAGGTTAAATCAAACAAACAATGTGGTATGTTAGAAGAAAGAGTACACCTTAAGACTGAATTAGCAGTTACGCAATATAAATAATTCAGGGCCTTCCTACCATTGCTTCTGAATTATGCAGTAATTTTTATTGTCTTTTTAAAATTCCAGCAAATATATATATTCATGAACGATTACATAAGAGCAAAAAATCATGTGTAAAGAAACTAATAACGTTACTATTTGCATAAAACTTTAGAATTATGGGTAAATGCAAATGTGAGCTAGACAAGAAAAGAAATATAGCAAATACTTTTAAAAGTTTTACATAAAAGAAAGCAGTAATGAGTTATTATGCATCAACTAAAATGATGATGAAAGCTTTATAACAATGGAAATGTCTTTATGTTTAATAGAAAAAGACATGATTCCAAGAATAAAACAAAATCCTAGATGAATAGACTAGAGGAACCAGAAAGTGAAAATATTTGTGTCAAGATGATAGAATAATGAGATACATGCTTTAAAAATCCTTCGATGTAAATAAAACATAGCTAAGTTTTTTAAAAATTGAAGGAAAATGAATGCACCTCAAAAATTTACTTCCAAACAAGTATTATACTTCCTAATTATAGGATATATATATAAAGTAATATCAACAGCTATTAACTGAGAAAAGGTTTCCTTAGATGCCTAAACAGTAACCTCAGCAGAAAGGCTACAAGGGCACTTTCCTGGCAGAGATTAGAAGACAAACTTATGAATAACTCTGCCACAACACTAAAAATGTGGCAGGCAAAGGTGTAGGTAGTGCAAACAAGGAATCACATCCTAGACTGAAATAAACTCTATGGATTATCAGTAGATTAAATTCATTGATAGCTCCATTACATTTGCTTACTAAATCATATACTAGATTTCATATTTGCTTCAGTTTGTGAACACAAGATCAGACAAATTTTCTGTCCCTCTATATCTCCAAATAACAACATTTCAAAAGCTAGCATGCCTTGTTAATAACGCTCTCCAAAGGTGAGTACTCAAAAATACAAAGTAGGTGCTACCTTGGCACTCAGAGACCTGCTCTTGATTAACTCTTGAGTAAGCCAAGGTCATCTTAATTATAAATAAATCTTAATCTACTAATCCCCAAAAATGCCCAAGAGATTTTATTCTTGTCATATACATACATACACACACATACATATATGCGAATGCACACAGAGACCCAAACAGACATAATAATACACTTAGATGTAGTAGCACCTTAAAGGTAATTATCCAAAAGGTTGCAATAAAATTTTTTAGCAAATGATATTATCTCAGTTCCTACCACTTAGGATTATAATAATTTATGTCCCATCTGTCACAAGATTTAGACCTCCTTAAAGGCAGTGTCACTAAATGCTACCATTTTAGATTCAAAGTAAGCTTTTATTTTTATTTTTATTTTTAGAGATGGAGTTTTGCTCTTGTCACCCAGGCTGGAGTGCAATGGTGCAATCTTGGCTCGCTGCAACTTCCACCTCCTGGGTTCAAACGATTCTTCTGCCTCTCCTTCCTGAGGAGCTGGGATTACAAGCATGCACCACCACACCTGGCTAATTTTTGTATTGTTAGTACAGATGGGGTTTTACCATGTTGGCCAGGCTGGTCTCGAACTCCTGACCTCAGGTGATCCACCCGCCTCAGCTCCCAAAGTACTGGGATTACAAGCATGAGCCTGTAATTATGGATTACACCATGCCCAGACTCAAAGCAAGTTTGTTTGTTTTTTTTTTTTTGAGACAGAGTTTCGCTCTTGTTACCCAGGCTGGAGTGCAATGGCGCGATCTCGGCTCACCGCAACCTCCGCCTCCTGGGTTCAGGCAATTCTCCTGCCTCAGCCTCCTGAGTAGCTGGGATTACAGGCACGCGCCACCATGCCCAGCTAATTTTTTGTATTTTTAGTAGAGACGGGGTTTCACCATGTTAACCAGGATGGTCTCGATCTCTTGACCTCGTGATCCACCCGCCTCGGCCTCCCAAAGTGCTGGGATTACAAGCGTGAGCCACCGTGCCCGGCCCAAAGCAAGTTTTTAAATAAGTAACTGGATGAATAACTAAAAAATAGTTTTCAAATTAAAATTCAAGGGGAAAATAAGAAAATATTATATCCACATTACCAAGAGCTGTCTGGAATAAAGATATAGTAAAGGCATTCACGCATGCAACAACTGTCGTCAATCTAAGTGATGCCTAATCATGCTACTATTTCAAACCTAAAAGGTAATTCAAAATTCTCTTGATAATGAGATAATGCCGCGTCAGGGGCAAGCATAAAGGAGCTAAAAATACAAATGATCAAATATGGATAAATGACAGAAAAGGGCAAGAAAATAAAAAGGTTGATTGCAGTAATTTAAACTTTTATGTCAATTCTAGTCATCCCTTTGAATCAAAGTCTGCTTTTATCAGCATCCACTGGAATCACAATCACTTTGAAGACAGAAAGCCTACTGAACTTTCAGTTGGTACTTCCTTGGAACGTATTTGTTATCAAGGCATGAATTCATATTTAAAGCAGTTAATAATTACTAAGAGCAAACAAATTTAAAACCAACATTCTAATTCATTAGTTGGTTCTTATACATATTCATCGTCCTCATTTGGGAAAGGGGTTTGATTTCAATATCACAGCTGAGTATTCTCACAATATTTTAAGAATGGAGAAGGGCCATTATTCTTAATATGGAGGGGAAATCATTAAAAATTTATATATAGAAATATTAATAGTATGAATGAAAAAGCTAACCTTTGAATGTGGATTAAAATAGGTGAATATTTAAAATATCATAAATAACCTTAATTATTCAGCAGATTTGGTTTTGAGCCATTTTAGTTTTTCTGCCTGAGTGGAAATAATTCAACAATTAAACTACATGCTGCTGGTCTTTCCCTTGTCAACAGACTATTTGCCAGTATTTGTCATTTGTCCTTAACTTCTAAAACTAGAAGTACATGAGTTTATGGTCTCGTTCAGTCTCATTATTCAGACCACATGCTAAATTAGAAAGTAACAGCCAGCAGACTGGTTCAGTGTTAGGCAAAGGTTCTAAAAAACTGAACCTTTAAGACTGTTTCCATTTCAACTGTATACCTAAATTCCAACTACTATATCATTCTGAGGCACTGAACTGAGCTTTTAGAACCCAACAAATAAATTATGGTGAAAATTAACATCTGTTTATTGTTACAATTTCTTCTGTAAGAGGTAGGTAGGTCTTATGAGGATAATAGGGATGTGTAATATGCTATTTGCAACATATATCAGACAGATTTATTAGCCTTTAGAAATCCAGTATTCATTTATGGTCCCCAGCAGATTATATGTGATGTTATAATAACACACCTTCCAGGAATCTGAGGCTATATTACAAAAAAAGAGAAGATTCCTCTGGATACCTGTCTTAATCATTAAATGTCCTTTCCTAACAAGAAAAAATATTTATTGTTTAGAAATTTTTATTTTTATGAATGATTTACTTTGAAATGCATTACTAAGTCCATTTTATAGCTCATATAAATCTATTTTAACTAGTAATTTGATCACTCACAAAAGGCTGTAAACCTCAGTATTTAAGGACCTGAGTTTTGGAGCCAAAGTACTTGCCTCTGAATCCTGGCTCTACTTCTTCTGAGCCATGCAACCTGGGCAAGTTTCTTTTCCTAGTTGTGGCTCTGTCACCTCGTTCTCTCATGTGAGATGACAACAGCATTGGGGAGGAAGTGAGTTAACACATGCCAGGCACTTGGCATGTGGTAAGCATGTGACAACTATTAACATCATCAATTTTGCAGTATTTTTTTGAGCAAATACTACATACCAGGTACTGTTCTAAAAACACAATAAACAAGCTGTAATAAGACAAGCAGAGTCCCTACCCTCTTAGATCTTATGGTCTCATTAGGGAGACAGGCAATAAGCAAATAAATCTACAATGTAATGTCAGGG